TGTTCTATTAGGCCTATGTATAACGTGTACTGATGCATATTTACATGTTTAGAAGTATTCATTTTTAGTGATCCCAGGAAAGAATTTGTATTGGCACAAGAATAAGCTTTAAAATTTTAACACTGTGTACAAAGGGGGGGAGCCGCGGCTCCCACGGCTCCCCTGGATACGTCCCTGAGCGTACCTATTGCAAGACAATTATACGTTTCAGAAAAAAGTGATTTTATTGGTTACCGTATTTAAATAATTTAATTTACCTCATATATAAACATAAGTGACCTATATAGCAAGTGTATGTGGTAGTTAATAATAGGTACGTTCACATAAGCTATCGTGATAAACTTATCATGATCTATTCATCATGATAACTTTAGCATGTTAGAGAAAACCGTTCATATAGAAACCATCATCATGATCTATTTATGCTAATGCATGCAGTGTTGCATGAAAACTACCAGAAGCACAACCAATGAGGTTGGGACCTGTTTAATAAACTGAAGGCTGATTGGTTGAATTCAATCTCATGAATTAATTTATCACGTTAACCAAGGTTAATCATGATGAATCAACATGCTCCACTAGATCACAACATGGAGGTATAAAATGATCACAATAAGGTGATTAAGCTGAGCATGTTATTTGATTCTGGTTGGTTCACAAAGTGACTGGCTTGATCATGATCCACTAGATCACGTTAAATTCTGAATGTGAACCTAGCTACTAACTAAATGAAGTTGAAGTGAAGGTGGCCTAACTTTGAAAAGCAGGCAGTTAAGAAGATTTATATAAATGTTGAATTTAAAGTGACATTTTCATCATGGATAGTAATAAAATTTAATTAGTTCCAAGGACGTCTTCAGTTAGTCTTTAAACAAGAGGTTATGTGAACATGGCCTGGCCTCTGAGCGTGACGTACCGATTGTCAACCTGACATTCCTACAAGTATAAACCTCTAAAGATGCCCTGCATGCTTTACAGCATTATAAATTGATGGACGGTAAAAAAACCCAAACAAAAAGAAAAGATATATAAAAGCTTTTGGAACTAAAGTAACCTGGTACCAATTTAGTAGTTGTAAACGTAACAATAGTAAACAACAAACTAATAACATATAAAACTGTACAATTTATTTCCAGGTGAAAAACATATGGTAGATAAAAAAACACTTGAGGTGTAGATCGGCAAACAAAGAATATACAAGTTGAAACAATAAAGAAGTACTGTTTATCAAAAGGTGTAATTCAACTGAGTACCCAAAGGTTCAGATAGTTGTGATATATATGGCATCACCAATCACTCCCTATGACCAATAGGAATTGAGAATTACAGTGGCCTTATTTTATGCCAGGGGAGTGACCACATTCCAAAAAAATGCAGACTGCTCTTAGTCGAGTTGTTGCCTTCATCTCGCCATACTTGAGCGGTCATACTCAAACTTATGGCGGGATCTTCTAGCTCATCCACTAAAATGATCTCGCCATAGTTCGATATGAAGGGGCTATTATCTGGTAGCTGTCTAAACGACCTTACCATGTGAAGATATATGAGGTCGTTGGACTTTATATACAAAGATGGTTAAATAATTAAAGTTAAGTGAAAATTCTCTAAAAAGACACATACCATGTTTGATAATAGTGGTATGAAACTGCTCAGTGCTACACATTTATATGTTAGTCAGTCTTTAAACAAGAGATTATGTGAATATGGCCTGGCCTCTGAGCGTGACGTACCGATTGTCAACCTGACATTCCTACAAGTATAAACCTCTAAAGATGCCCTGCATGCTTTACAGCATTATAAATTGATAGAGGGTAAAAAAACCCAAACAAAAAGAAAAGATATATAAAAACTTTTGGAACTAAAGTAACCTGGTACCTTTATATGAATTAAACAATACCGGTACAAATCTTTTGTGGCGAAGTGTTTTGTTCGTATACACACCCTCAGTTATGTTTATTGTAGCGAATGGCAGTCAGTCGAGCATATCTCGTAAAGATTATCAAAAGACCTGTTTGTATTTATAAAGTGCCATTTCAGTGTGCGTTACCCTCCTCCGTACTACATGAACTGAAAGTTAGCAGAAATGAAATTTGTTGTAACTTCTCTGCTCTTTGCCCTTTTTCTATGGCAGACTCAAGCTCAGGGTAAGTAGCTATGGTACATGGTGCCAACTGATTGAATTTCTCATAATTGTATTTATAACGTCATCCGTTTCATCAGATATGATCAAATGTATAGATGAGTGTATTTAGTTGACATTAAGATATAGTATTTCTTTCTATTCATATACGAATCAGAGTGGTTTTTTTAAGCAGAGTTGTATGGCTTATTGGTAAACTTGTTACATTATCAGATTTAATATGCAGGAGTTGATCCAGCGGCGGAGCCACTGGGGCACGCCGAAAAATTAACAAAATTGAGAATTGGGAAGAAAGAAAGAGGGAAAAAAGGAAGTGTACCCATGAGTTCAGTGACGGATCCAGCAGAGGGCGAAAAGAGAACTCGATTATTTTACCAATCACTAATTTTGAATTTTCTATTGATTGACAACGAACACAACGCTATGTCCCTGACACATAAATTAGGATGTAAAAAAGCCAAAATGCGCAGAACTAAAGACAGTTTTTTTAGCCGGAATGTAGTACCCAACTATAGAACAGCTATCCATGCTCAGCGAAAATCCGCAGGCCACCGACCCTTAGGGCCCCTTAGGGGCCCCTTTGATGCCCCTACCCATGACGAGGGTCCAGTAGGGTCCTCGCTCTATATACCACCCTGATCCTAAATGGCTTTGTTAATAACTCCATAATGTGTCTCTGACAGCGACTGTATGACATTAATCCAGTGGGGGTGGGGTGCCCAGCTGGCCAGGGCCACCCTACATTTGTCAAAATTTAAAAAAAATTAAGATAAAATTTTCAAATTTTAAGTCTGAATGAGTGCCATTTCCGGGCATTTAAAAGTGCCATAATCATAATTTGCTTTGCGACTACCCAGTATGGAATAGACTATAGGTCCTTTTATCAGATCTTTCCGATGCCCGTGAGGGGAGGGGTGTCTGAATGAGGAGGAGCATAGGCCTATGGGTAAAAGCATAACTGCCGTCGGGAGGAAGTCAATAATTTTGTCTAGAAACACTGCTTTGAAAAATCATTTTTACCGTCTGAGAGTACCATTTCCGAGCTACTAGAGGGGCCTATTCTTAAAATTTGCTCCAATGGCCACTGATCCTTAGGGGCCTCTTCGGTGCCCCTACTGGTACTGGTACTGGTACTTGTAGCCGTCTGATTTCAGACATTCGTCAGCCATTGACATTAAGTTGGCGTTAAAAGACTGCATATTGTGATGTCTAATAGGGTCCTCACTCTATACACCCTGATCGAAAAGGGCTTTGCTGATTCAAAAGAGCATAATGTGTCACTGACATCGACTGTAGGACATATAGCATATTAATCCAGTGGGGTGGGTTGCCCAGCCAGCCAGGACCCCCTGCATTTGTAAACATTTTTTTTAAAAGGAGATAAAGTATTCAAATTTTATGTCGGAGTGAGTGCCATTTCCGGGCATCTGGAGATACCAAAATAATAATAATAATAATAATTTGCTTTGCGACTCCCAGTATAGAATAGACTATAGGTCCTTGATTAGACCTTTGCGATGCCCGTGAGGGGAGAGGGAGAGGGAGCATAGCTCCTGTCGAGAGGAAGTTAATAATTTTTTGTCGAGAAACACTGCTTTGAAAAAGCATTGGCCTATTTTTACCATCTGAGAGTGCCATTTTCAAGCGTCTAGAGGGTCCTATTCTCAAAATAGCCATGGTGTGGCTGAGGTAGGTGTGGAATACCTGTTGGCCCCCTCCCCCCTCCCCAACAGAAAATTTCTGGATCTCCCCCTGATGTAGAGCCTAGGCCTATTCGGAAAAAGCAGATGCTAAAAATAGTCATGAAATTAATTTGGAAAAACCAAATTCTAAAAATAGATTACAATTGGCATACTTCCAATGAAAAACAGATCCAACCAACAATAGGCCTACATAATCAATTTACAGACCTTTTAGTTAAAAAAAAAATGTTAGATTACCAATCTTTTTCCCCCCTCTTTTAATCTACTTTGGATATTTTAAGTTTTTTTAGCACCATGAATGAGAAGACATGGTACTGTATACAAAAATACCATACAGTACTTACTGGATTAAGCCGCATGGTTTATATACAGTATAGCCTGAGGTGATCTGGAGGCTGTACTACTGTATGGGTATGTTCAAACATACGGCTTAAGACTGGCGTAGCTTACGCCGGCATAAGCTAATCCACGGATTAAAATTCCAAAGTGTTCACACAAACGGCATTCGCTATATTAACGCTGGCGTTAAACTAGTATAGTTATATAGGCCTATGGTGGAATAGTTTTTAGTTTTAAAAAATGTACGGGTTCTTAACTGTAGTAAAATTAACAGTGCATCATTGAGTATTATGAACTAATTTACAATTCTGTGCACTTCTTATTTTCTTAGTGATTTTCTGTGCAAATTTGAGCCGTTTTTTGGCGGTATCCTCATGCTAATTAATTAAACTTCACAGCACCAAGCCTAGGGCAGGCCTATATCTGCAGTGGAGAGGTTGGGATGATGGTCGTATTTGTTTTGGTATCGCTAATGCACTTTCGTACTCCACCCTAACCTTAATCTCAACTCCAGCTTTGCTATCTTAGTTAAGGTTATGGAGGGTAGAGTACCAAATTGCATTAGCGCTGTTTTAGTCATTTCAGATCTTAGTAGGTCATTTCACAGAAACATAATCATCCAATTATTTAATCTCTGCCAAACTATTTGGAAAAAAACCAAATGCTAAATATAGATTACAATTGGTGTATACTTCCAATGACAAAACAGATCAAATCAACAATAGGCCCACAATTCGTAATAAATTACAATATCCACTTCCGTTTTCTTTATTTTACAGTTAGTACTTTACTTTTTTTTTATCTACTTTGGATATTTCAATTTTTTTCTTTCTTTTTAGCACCATGAATGAGAAGACATCTACGATATACAAATATTTACTGGATTGAGGGACATGGTTTAAATTATAGCCTATGCTGATCTGGAGGCTGTACTACTATATGTCTTGAGATGAAGTCGAGAGACATACAGTAGTGTAGCCTCAGGCTATAATTTGAATTATGACGTGATTCAAATCCTAGTAAATATTTGTTAAATATTGTACAATGTGCTGCAGTTGTTGTTGTTTTTTTCTTTTTTTAACAGTGGCCCCAAATTTCAATTTTGCATTTAGACCTATTTATTACATACAGTATATGCACCACACATTTTTCCATATTTAAAATGAAAGTATTCTTTTCTTGGCTGCTTGATGTACTGGCATTGAAGTTTATCCAGCTTTATAGGTATTTTCTTCACCTTGACCCCTCATTGAGTATTCTTTCCCAGTGCCATATTCAGTGCCATAGTACCAGGGTTCATTTGGCCCTACAGTGCCTATGTTTGGCCTTTGCACTCATAATTTAGCTGATTGGTGTTTTTGATGAAAAATGCTACCGGGCAGCAAATATCATTTGGATTCAAATTCCGAGATGTTTGTATAAAGTGCCATGATTTTCTTCTGTAAACTGTAATTTTTTGTGCTTAACTTTGCCCTTTCGTACCTTTGGTAGAAAACAACTTTTACACTCTGCAAGACTCGCTAAATTTAAATTCCAAGATGTTTGTATAAGTGCCATATTTTCTTCTGTAACTGTAATTTTTTGTGCTTAACTTTGCCCTTTCGTACCTTTGGTGGAAAACAACTTTTACACTCTGCAAGGCTCGCTAAATTCACTGTCTTTTTTAATATCAACTTTCCATCATTTAGAAGTTGTTGCAGCCCTAAACAAACGCTTTGCATTGATTTCTTTGATTTTTGATGCAGTTCCCCGTTCCTCTGACGTGAAGAGGTGTAGAATTGCATTTACATTTTCTTCACTGCGACATACAATTGAAGTGCGAGAGGGAAAAACACAAATCGTATTGACTGGCTAGGAGGGCATGGCTACAACTATTGCCGGCTTTAAACCAATCAAATATCTGGAATCTATGTAGTTGTTATTATACAATATATTATATGCCCTTCTTTCTACTGTATTAGTAATTACTGGTCATGTGATGTGTATATATGAACTACTGTATATCAGATCTGAGAAACTTGCGGTATGCATCATGCATGTACAGTACTTATATTATATACAGTATTGATGAGTGAAATTTGATACTTTACTGGGGTTTTTTTCCCTCGTTTTTAATTTTTTATTTAATTCAATGTGCATTTATTTGCAGTTAAGCTTAGTTGGTGGGGGGGGGGGCTCATTTGTACAAACCCTTCAGTTTCTCAAGACTACTTTTTATCATTTTGAAATTCCACTTATCACTCTTTATTGGCAAAATGTAGTGATATTTGAAATGATAAGTAATTATTATTGTATTGTATATTATACGTTGATTTTATTTGAAATCTTGTCATTGATTTTATAGGAACATGCATTCAACTAAAAGGTGTGCTATAATGTGATGCTACCATTCATCCAAGGCTTGTGGAGATCGGTTACTGAGGCAAAGTTGGGGGGGGGGGGGGGTGGATTTTAATAACATCTATTGTCTAAGTCACCTAGTAAGTAATATTTTAGAACAGCCTTTCATAGTCCAAAGCCGGGCAGCCACTGCACCAACTGTCGTTGGTCAACGTAGCCCCATAGGCAACGTCTGCACAACAGAATGTTTTAATGACAATCCACTTAGACTGCCACTGACTATGAGCAGATGGCATCTCGTCATCAAACGCTTACAGAGGTAATGGCTTGTACCATTGCCGTACAACACAGTGTGAAATCACCATAAGTCTTGGGAAGATGCCTTATCTTATAAAATGGTTACAACCAGACTAATTCCAACTTTTGATATCATATATCATTTATTTTCATATCATTTATTTCGCCTCAGTTAAAATTACAAAAATTACAAACAAGGACATTGCACAAACAAAGGTAAATCAATGAGGCAGGATTGCCTAAATGTTATAAATAAAATAACAGTCGAGAGGCTCTCCACAAAGAAATACCATACACAAAGATGTAACATGAAATGATATAAATGATATCCTAGAATATTTGAAATGTGTTAATTATAGAAAGTAACACAAACAATGTTCACATGGCCTAGAATATTATGATATTTTAGTCAGTTGTGACATTCTAATTCTCATTTCCACATAAATTTTCCCATTAAACATCTACCCATCTCAATTACTTTACATGCCTATTTCAGAGGTACATTAATGTGAACTGAAAATAAATAATATTATATATTAAATCTATTCTAGTGTGAAAGTTTGTTAAGCTCAACATATGGAGTAATAGTGTATAGTACAGTACATATCTGTGAAAAATAGAACATTCAAGAAGGATGAAGGATCCAGGTAAAATATTGATCATTCTTTGCAATATACAGGCCTGCTATTTCACCTACAGTACCAACAGTTATCATCACAAAGTACTTCATTATCATTACACTAAAAATAGTAGCAGTCATACAGAGCCTGCAACCTTCACATCTGAGATGAGTAGAAGTCACAGGAAATGAAAAATTAAAACAAAATTCAGCCTCAGCATCATTCCAGGACATGCATACATTCAAAATAATTTGTATTCTATATATTTAATAAAACAACCACTTAAATCCAAAATTAAAAGCCTGATGTATACTATTATGTAGTAAGAAGACTGAATATTCTATATATCTTGCAGTAAATCCAAGATAAAAACTGAATGTTATACATCTTGCTCAGTATACTTGAATCTATCCTTTTTTTTTTTAGAATGTCTCGCCATACTGTATATCACTTTTTATTGTTTATACATGAAATTTTCACATGCAGAACAGGTTTGTGTTGATAGGAGAGTTTGATAACCTGTAATGTAACCATCAAATACTGAAATTTTAATTATCAATAATATTTTATATTATTGTTAACGCCATCGTTTCCCCACAGAGTTCTTGTCGATGCTTGTACAACTTTCTGATGCAATCAGCAAGAAAGGTGAAAAGTATGTAGACCTGTTGAGGGTTCTGTACAGAGATCTTGCAAATGTTAAATCAGATTTGGAGAAAGCTAAGTGTGCATTTGATTTATTTCAATTGCTAATAGCACCTGGAATTTTGAAGCCAACAGACATTTCAGTTTTGTTTGAAACAATTGAACTAACTGGATTGAAATATTTGATAGAGATAATTAAGAGATATGAGACATATCCTGATGAAGTGAAGATCACTCAATTTTCACCACATCGTCAACAGGTTGTTGCTCTGGGAAAAGACTTTTCAGTTAAAGATCTCCAGAAAGTTAGTCAGTTATTCGAAGGCAATTTTTCTAGTCCATGGAAAGTGATTCAACATCTTGAAGATACATCTGTTTTAACCGAAAATAGTATGTCATCATTTCTTCAACGTTTGAATGAGAATAAAGTAAATGAAGGTTAGTAATAAATATAGAATATCACATTTAAATATCCATGCATGTAGGACATTATAATTAATTAAAAGCTCTACTTTTGTATTGAGATAGTTCTTGAGCAGTTTACAATGTGTTTTCAATTTAAACACGTTAAATTTTCATTGCGGATTTTTTGGGCTCAGTACAGACTCTAAACGTATTCATTTTCTTTTAGTTTTAAGGCGTATGCGGATTTTATAAGTCCGCAATGACGATATAACGTGTTTTTAATGATTGAATTCAATGAGAATAGTTGACGTGAACTGCAGTATTGAGAATTATGCCATTTAAGAATTCCAATCACTGTAAAAATCAAAGTGATAATTGAGTATGGACAAAATAACAACAAATGAGCAACAAATATTTATTCCTTTAAATTTACGTAGGCCTTATATGCAAAATACAACGGCGAATAGATACATATTCACTTTTATGAGTGATCCGTATTCTGGCCCTAAAAACCAGACTAGGAAATAACCAGAATGTTGTTCGGGGAGAGTTTTTACTTCCAAGGAGTTAATGTGTATTGTCAACTGCTCTCTGGTATTCCTGGAACAATTTGATCTATNCCCCCCCCCCCCCCCCACCCAATAAACAAGTCTCGCTACTCGGCTGAAGTTTTCTATTAAATTTTTATCAACAGAATTTTAGAGTTTAGGGGTTTTATTTTAGTTAATCTTTTAGAAACTATTTTTTTAAATAGATTTTAATCAACTGCTTGTGACAGTATCTGATGCAATCAGCGTGAAAGGTGAAAAGTATGTAGACATGTTGAGGGTTCTGTACAAAGATCATGCAGAGATAAAAACAGAATTGGAAGAAGCTAAATCGGCATTTGATTTATTCCAAATACTAAGAGTTGCTGACATTTTGAAATCAACAGATATTTCAATTTTAGTTGAAACAATTGAAGTTACTGGATTAAAGTATTTGAAGGAGATAATTAAGACGTATGACACATATCCAGATGAAGTGAAGATCACTCGATTTTCAGCACATCGTCAACAGGTTGTTGCTCTGGGAAAAGACTTCTCTACCATAGATATTCAAAGGATTGGTTGGAAGTATGAAGTTCCAGATGACTTCTGTTCTAATCCATGGAAACTAATCACATTTCTGGAAAGTAATGGTATTGTTTCCAAAGATAACTTGTCATCATTTCTCATGAATTTGAAAAGAGTTGGTGAGTAAGAGGATTATTTAATTATTATTTACAATACTAAATTAATAATACTGTAATGTTGCAATCTAAGGTATTAAATTAGGATACCACTGTTGGAACTACAGTACTATAAACTGATCACATCTAAACATTGGATATCGAAAATCACTGAATCAAAGGATTTAAACATTTTCCTTACATTAATTATTTTCAATATTTTTGTAACCTACCTTTTCTCTGAAGCAATATGTAGTTTTAAACAAATAAATATTTTGGAAAGAAATACACAAACATCAAAATTAAGTTAACATTTCAAATAAAATAATAGTTTATTAATGTAGTAAATAATAGCAAAATTGCATTACTTGAATCATTTTAATATGGATTTAAATGCTCCTTTACATCACAATAATTATTTTCAATATATTTGTATTTGATTTAGTCTCTGAAACAATAGATAATTTTTAGAAAATAGCTATAAAGAAAAACACAAACATAGAAATATATACAGTATGTTAAATTGTCAAATAAAATAAAAGTTTATTATCATAGTAAATCATAAGTTCAAGTAGTTAAACCAGTATTTTATTTAAGGTGCAAAGTATTAATATTAAATACAGTTTTATTTGGGTACTCAACTGCATCGGGAAATTACTTTCATCGATGCACCCGAATCCTGTTTAGTCTTTCCTCTAGTATGGGACTTATAGTAGTAACATTACACGATCGCTTTCGTTTCGGGCTATTTCAAAGGCGTACTTTACGGTAGGATTTATTGTTCTCTAGTGCCAATATCATAATGTAAACTGACTGGAATTCTGGTGCCTACCTGTACATCTATCAGTTTATTATGTGTACAAAAAACATTAGTAATTTTTGAAACCTATAACTAAGCCATTCTCCTGAGTAGGAAGATTTATGCTATGGTGTACATTGGTTTTTTGCTGCTAATATACAAATTGTCAATTTCTATTTCCTCAATAAGTAATGAAAAACCATCAATAAGACAAAAATAAGACAAAGGTATGTACTGGGTGCTGAATAATTGCTTGTTATTTACAAAAAACTGTTTAATCAAGGAATGGATATTAGTCAGTATAATTCATCTGATAATGTATTTGCTTTACTCAATTAATTTTTGGGTGGCTCCAAATAATGTTTAATAATGTATGTTATTTACAAAAAGTATTTCCAGAAATCAGTGCATGTATGATAATAATACATCAAAAATTAATTTAATTTTTTTGTTTTAGACTATGCAAGCTTGGGCTTCAATGGAGAGGGGGGGGGGGTGTCGAGATGATATCTGGGTGATTAAAATTATCGATAAAGTAAAGAGTATCTTTACAAATAGTTCCCATCAACTCAACCCACGGAATTAATCTTCTGAAACATCCAAATAAAAAATCCAAATTTAAACTAAAAATCAGAAATTTATATATTTTAGGCATCACTGTTAAAAATACCAAAACGAAAATATGGATTGTAAATTAAAATCGTACTCAAAATGAGTATTGCACATTATTGTTTTGCTCATAATGCCAAATGATTTATTCTCTTTACAGACAAGTCAGGACAATCAGAACAACCTCAAAGTTCGAAGGCAGATGAAGGTGTGTTTATTTAATAGCAGATTATATTGACATTTTAAGTACATTCTAACACAAACTAAATTATACATAGACAAGTTATAGAGTAGTTACATACTGTATGTACTGCACTGGTTGCTGAATAATTGCTTATTATATTGAATGAATATCTATAATGGTTTTAACTATAGTTCACCTGATATTTATTATAAATGTAAGTTATTCACAAGTATTTATTTGTAAAGAATATATTCCTTGCACAACCATGCTGTAGAAGCAGTTGGCGCATCAGTTGTGGCTTGGACTCCCCAAACTTCAGGGGTTTGAAACTTGCGCTGTACAAGTCGCTTGTGTTCTTGGGCAAGTCACTTTATCTCTCTACCCAGGAGTATAAATGGGTACCTGGTAGGATGTTGTGGCATTGAATGTACTAGTTTGTGTGCTATGTAAGTAGTGCACGACTAGGTATACTCCCCAGGGAGCAGAGAAGGTTGCACTTTTTGCTGGTTTGCCATTGTGTGTTATCCAGTGACCAGGGCTAATAACGCTCAGCACCTTTGATCATATAATTTGGAATTGGTGCTATATAAATATTTAAGCACTATATAAATATTTAAGCACTAATAGAAAAACCAAACAAAAAATTTTTCTAGGAGCTTTATCTGGTTGGTTACAATTTTAGAACTGTTTCATTAAAACCAAACAAAATTTGATGTAAACTTACTGCGAGCTTTTGTTACGTAGCCGCTTTAAACTAAATTTGTGATGACGCGCCAGCTGCATTGGTACAGTATATCTAAGTGCAGCGCAGGCCATTGTAATCCAGAGAATTAGGACAATTCTAGACGAGTTCTTTGTATTATTACTATCCTTGTATTAGTATAAATAATATCAAATTCCTCAAGTAGGCAAATAAGCAACAGACCTAGATGAAGAAGATACTGAACTTCAGAGAGTGAAGAAAGAATGTGAATTATATGCATGATGCCTGTATATTTTAGACTTCCGCCTGCCTGTAGATACATGGAAAGGTTTACTGTCATTACTATTGTTAATATCAAGCATTTAAGTTGGATATTTGAAATGCTGGAAATGACTATATTGCACACCAATGTTTTGCTTTCTTTACAGGTAAATCAGGAAAATCAAAGCAACCGAGAAAAAAGCGAAAATTGAACAAAGGTTTGTGATCAATAATTACACATCACGATTGTGATTTACTTTACATAGTGTAATACATGTGAGCTGTCACGAAAAAGTGAGTCTTGTGGTATGAAAAATGAGTTAGTGATACGTTTAGTTAGATGAATATACTGTATAAGCTTTATTTTTGGTTTACCAGTGCAAGATCATTTTTAAGCTCAGATGTCTTAAATCGTACTTAAGATAAAGTCACCTCTAAAGATAAACAACTCTGATAAATTTTGTGTTTCCTATCAATTCTGAAAAATAACTTTTCAAAATGTGCCCCAAAACACATTATTATCTTTGGTAACTTAACTTTTGCTACCATGAAATGCACATATTAAATGTATCAGAATACATATCAAATTGACCTAGTGCACTTCACATATTCTTTACATAATGTTGAGGAAGAAAGTAGGAAAATTATGATATGATTTACTGTAGTTATTCTGCTAATGCACAAATTGTCAATTTCAATTTCTCAATAGCTATTGGAGAAGCATCAATACCAAAACAACCAAAATTAGGTATGTAGTGAGTGCTAAATTGGTTGTTATTTTCAGTGTGTATCTTTAATGATGTGATTGTATAACCAATGAATGGATATTACAGTAGTCAATATAATTCATCTGATAAAATATTAATGATTTACTCAATTAATTTTGGGCAGCTCCAAATAATGTTTTATAAAGAATGTTAGTTACAAATAGTATTTTTCTGAAATCCGTACATGTATATTATAATACATAAATCAACTAATCTAATTTATTTTCTAACACAATGTTAAAAAATATGTCTAAAAATACATAAAAAATGATTAAATTTTTTCTATCACAATGTTAGAAAATGTTTTGTTAATATAGGCTTGTTCCACTACTACGCAAGCTTAGGCATTAATCAGTGGGGGAACAGAGGGAACATGTGACTCCACACTTCAAAGAAGAAAGGACGCTATAAAATTTATCCTCCTTGCTCTTCAATATTCAGTAGTATTAAATATATTAATAGTTAAAATTTGTCATGCATGGTTTGGTAGTTTATGGAAAATCGATTACAACAGAATATATACAATCCATTGTACATAATAAATACATATCTCAAAATGATTATAATTGCACACTGCTGTTTTGCTCATAATGCCCAATGATATTTTTCATTTACAGACAATTCAGGACAATCAGAACAACCAAGAAGCTCATGGTCAGATGAAGGTGTGTTTATTTAAGCATTATATTGACATTTTAATACAAATACTTCCTAACAAAACTAAATTATACGTAGACAATACTAATTAATATATTGCACACAAGAGATTAGTTAGGGGCAAATGTACATCATTTTATGCCTCTTACAGTTCACATGAAATGGCACTCTCAGACTTCAATAATAATGAAAATAATAACATTTAAAAAAAAAAAAAAATTTCCCACCTTTTTTTAATTTAAAAAAGAGAAGGGGACCATGGGCTGGCTACTTACCCCCTCCCTCCAATTAAATAATTTGTCTATTCATCTAGATTAAAAATGCTGTATTTGTAAAATAGGGAAATGATATTGAAGTATGAACCAAAGGATGTAATGTAGAAGTGTATCATGGACTTAACTATATAAATAATAATAGAAATATTATTATTAGTTTTTTCACTGTTTCAGATATAATAATAAAAAATTCCCTGATGAAAATGCAGAAAGAACTGTATCAGGATGAGAATCGTATTACACCAGCAATCTGGCATAAAAATCATAAAGTAGATATTGCACAAGTTTTCACTGAACTCAAGTTGCTGCAATCTAAAAAAGAAGACAAAGGAAAAGAAGACAAGCCAACATGTACAAAAAAGGAAGGTAGACCCACATCGTTAACAGAGGCATTAAGAGTTATTAAGTCAACAGATTCATGTAAAGTATTAATAACAGGGGAGGGAGGAATGGGTAAGACTACCCTCCTTAAATATGTTGCTCATCAGTGGGCTACTGATGATGAACATGTCTTTGCTGATAAATTATTGTTTTTGATAAATATCAGGGAAATTAAAGCAAGTAAAACGTTCTTGGACATAATATTGAACAAAGTTGATTGCAAAGCAATCATTTTTAAGAACAGTTTGTCATATGATTCAGTTGAAAGGTTCTTGGTCACACATGATGATGAAATAGTAATTTTGTTAGATGGATATGATGAGTTAGAAAGAAATGCTAAAGACCCAATTGATCTATTTAAAAGAAGTGAATTTCAAAAAAGCACGGTGGTGATAACATCTCGACCTGACCACACAGCTGATTTGGCTGATCGCTGTGATGTACATATTGAAGTAATGGGATTCAGTCCAAGTAACATAAAAAAGTATATTCAAAATCATTTTCATTCAATCAGTAAAATCGAAATTGGTGATTCTTTAATGAAAGAGTTTAGACTTGATTCAAAGCATACATTGTTTTGGGGTGGTAAACACAATGAAGCGTTTGAATTGTGCTCGTCTCCACTGTTATTGCTTCAGATTTGTACCATTTGGGAACTAAAACGTGTTCTTCCCACATACTTAACCGATCTTTTCAAGGAACTCATTTGTTGTATTTTAAATCAATACCTAAACAGGCCTGGCAATAAAACTGCTATTGCCAATTTTGAGAGAATTCCTGATGAATATATATCTGCCTTTTTAATTTTAGGAGAATGTATGTATGAAGGACTAAAGAAAAATGTACTACCTATTGACAAATACGATTTGTCAAAGATGGCAAAAAATGATGAATTATTAAATTTAACACTGGAAATCGGGTTTGTTTATGAAGATACCCCTATTAATCCTGGGGATGTAAGGGAGATGTACACACCACCACATAAATTAATGTCGGAGGCACTAGCAGGGCTGTACCTGTCTACAGAAATTCAGGAAGGGAGTTCGAAGGTTGAGTATGAGGAAATCAGATGTAATGATTATTTAAATATGACAAGGGTGTTTGCAATAGGATTTTTAGGTGCTGATGCTGATAAGTTACTGAAACCATGGTTGATAGTCAGGGCCTCACATTATCGCTCAATAGTAGAATGTTTAGCACATGTAAAGAAAGAGCATGAAGATGATATTCTACTGAAATTGGATAACCACATGACCAACGATATGAAAGCACATAATAAGCAAATGTTAGAAACATTTAAAATTCTTCTAAATGACTTAGCATGTAGTGGACAAATATTGGAGTCATCTGGAAGTCTTCTAAATGATGACTTGTTATCATGTATTCATTTATTAAAATTCCTAAAGATGACCATGGAAGATTTTTTAGATGCGTTTGATGATATTGAAGAACAAATAGTATCTTTGATAAATAGGTGCAGGGAAAGGCGGTGTAAAATTGTTGCACATACCTTGGTGTTACTTGAAATATTAGAAAAGTATATTTTTCCATACGATTTACTTGTTTTACTTAAATGTATTTCAACATGGGATAAGGAAGAAATCAATTTACTTTCAGCAGAGATGGAAAAACATTATTTAAAATATGATGTTTCTAAAACTAAGATTGATTTTAAAATGTGTTCAACATTCTTGATTAATCTCCTTAAATATGCAAGTGACTTAGAAGAATTGTATATAGAAAATACAGTATGCAATAGCCACACATTGGTCACAGGTGCTACACTCAATGAAGTTATTAATGATTTGGACAATGCCAATATAAACTTAGAATTAAAACGCCTTGATTTTCAAGGCAATGATCTAAATGATATTGATGGAACATTACTGGGGAAATTATTTAAAATAGCTCCTAAATTAAAATATCTAAATTTAAGAAACTGTAGGCTATCAGGTGGTACTTTGAGGGCAATGATCACAGAATGCCAGAACAGTGAAGATACAGTAGACCTTGGCTATAATGACAAAATGAAAAATTTAAACACATTCCCCAAACTGAGTTATTCAGACATTAAAAACTGTAGGATGACAGAGGAATGTGGTAGGATGAATACAGTTTTGAAACGCTACAGACTTGTACTGAAGGACAAAGACCTTTCAGATATTGATGGTACATCACTTGCTGATTTAGTCAGGGTAGATTGTCAACATAATGATTTTGAAGTTTATTTTGAATATTATTATAAGGATACAATTTTCATTCTGAGTGATTATTCTCTTACTTTTGATAACATAGAAAAGCTGGTTGAATCAGTAGGTGAAAATATAACATTGGATTGGAAAAGTATAGATCTGAGTAGGATTAACCTGTCTTCAGTAAGTGGAATAACATTAGCTCGCCTATTTAATATCTGCCCAGACCTGAAGCATATTGACATGAGTAACTGCAGTTTATCAGGCAGCATTGTTAATAAAATGATAGAAGAATGTTGTAGGATGAATGTAGTATTAAACGACATCATGCTTAGTCTACAGGGCAATGACCTTTCAGATATTGATGGTAAATCACTTGCAGAGTTAATCAGGGTAATTTGTCAATTTGATTTGGATTATTATGAGGATACCATTTTCAGTTGGAGTGATTATTCTCTTACAGCTGGTAACCTAGAAATGCTGGTTGAATCTGTTGGTGAAAATATAACATTGAATTGGCAAGTGATAAATTTGAGTAGGATTAACCTGTCTTCAATAAGTGGTAAAACATTAGCTCGTCTGTTTAAAATCTCTCCAGACCTGGACAATATTGACATGAGTAACTGCAGTTTATCAGGCAGGATTGTTAATGAGATGATGGAAGAATGTTGTAGGATGAATGTAGTATTGAAAGACAACATGCTTAGTCTAAAGGGCAATGACCTTTCAGATATTGATGGTAAATCACTTGCAGAGTTAGTCAGGGTAATTTTTCAATTTGATTTGGATTATTATGATTATGAGGATACCATTTTCAGTTGGAGTGATTATTCTCTTACAGCTGGTAACCTAGAAATGCTGGTTGAATCTGTAGGTGAAAATATAACATTGAATTGGGAAGTGATAAAATTGAGTAGGATTAATCTGTCTTCAATAAGTGGTAAAACATTAGCTCGTCTGTTTAAAATCTCTCCAGACCTGGGCAATATTGACATGAGTAACTGCAGTTTATCAGGCAGGATTGTTAATGAAATGATGGAAGAATGTTGTAGGATATATGTAGTATTGAAAGACAACATGCTTAATCTAAAGGGCAATGACCTTTCAGATATTGATGGCACATCACTTGCAGAGTTAGTCAGGGTTAGAAAGTCTTGTGAAGTTTTAAAGTTAAGCAGATTTGGTCAGCATATTAATATGAATGTATTCGAATTGAGTGATTATTCTCTTACAGCTGATAACCTAGAAAAGCTAGTAGAATCAGTAGGTGAAAATATAACATTGAATTGGCAAGTGATAAAATTGAGTAAGATTAACCTATCTTCAATCAGTGGAAAAATATTAGCCTGCCTTGTTAAGATCTCTCCAAACCTGATCCATATTGACTTGAGTTACTGCAGTTTATCAGGCAGGATTGTTAATGAAATGATGGAAGAATGTTGTAGGATGAATGTAGTATTGAAAGACAACATGCTTAGTCTAAAGGGCAATGACCTTTCAGATATTGATGGCACATCACTTGCAGAGTTAGTCAGGGTAGTTAGAAAGGCTTGTGGAGTTTTAAAGTTAAGCAGATTTGATCAGCATATTAATAAGAATGTATTCGAATGGAGTGATTATTCTCTTACAGCTGATAACCTAGAAAAACTAGTAGAATCAGTAGGTGAAAATATAACATTGAATTGGCAAGTGATAAAATTGAGTAAGATTAACCTATCTTCAATCAGTGGAAAAATATTAGCCTGCCTTGTTAAGATCTCTCCAAACCTGATCCATATTGACTTGAGTTACTGCAGTTTATCAGGCAGGATTGTTAATGAAATGTTTGTGGAATGTAGTATTATGAATGCAGTGTTGGATGTCAACATGCTCAATCTGCAGGGCAACAACCTTTCAGATGTTGATGGTAAATTATTGGCAGAAATAATCATAGTATTCCATAAGCCTATTATCCCTTTTATTTGGAGTGGTTATTTTCTTTCAGCTGATAACCTAGAAAAGCTGGTCGAATCAGTAGCTGAAGAAAATATAACACTAAATTGGCAAGTGATAGATTTGAGTAATATTAACCTATCTTCAATCAGTGGAAGAACATTAGCTTGCCTTGTTAAGATTTCTCCAGACCTGGTCCATATTGACATGAGTTACTGCAGTTTATCAGGCAGGATTGTTTATGAAATGATAGAAGAATGCTGTAAGATGAATATATTATTGAAAAAGAACATGCTTAATCTGTGGGGTAATGACATTTCAGATATTAGTGGTTATTCACTTGTAGCAAATTTGTTAGCACTATAACATATGAATTGTGTAAAACCAAACATACACCACATGCTGAAAACATACTGTATATATGTATCAATCAAATTAAGCAATCACATGCTGTTATGTTATATACAAATAGGATAACTATACGTTACAATGCAACTACAATATAATATACGACCAATGAATTCAGTTTTGTGTGATTAATATCTGTTTATTTACCATAGTATCCTTTAAAATTGAGGCAATTGACAAAGTATTGGTTCTGGACCCCTATTACCCCTTTATGTACATATGTTAATATATGCGTTGGCATGCGTGTGTGTATATTATACTGTATATATTTTTCGTCGTAAGTTGTGAAAGAATGGCAAACCTCAATTTTGTACATTTTTGGTTGGTCAGGCGTGGCCAACACAATTTTTTTTTTATTTGGCCTTAAAAAATGTAAATATGTGTTTCATTAAGTAACTTTGCACTATCAGATTTACTTTGCTAGTAAGTTATATTACATCGGTCGTTTATATCAAATGAATAATTACATACTTCTGATTAACTACTGTAGATTATGTTCTGGTTTTAGCAACTGTGCACCTCTGTTTTAAAGCCAGGCTTCAGAGTAATTATTGTTATTATTATTATTATTATTTTTATTATTTTTATTATTATTATTATACGTTGTACAACTGATTTTGCTTAGACATGAAAAGCAAATTTGACAAAATACTCGAAATTGCTTAATGTGATACAACATATCAAACATTCTTTTGGCTCCAGAGTCTGGCTTTAAAATATTATTTTATCTACTGTATTATTTGCAATTTGTAAATTATAACCTTATATGACTTGAGAACTGCAGCTGTACACAATTTAGTTTTTTAATATTGATTTGAACAAGTTGTATAAGATTGTTTTGCTTGATTATTCAAATAAAAATTTTATAAAATTATTTGCATGTATGTACTATGTTTACATTGTTGTGTGTCTACCGGGACGTGCTTACCTCTCTCCATTGGGGGCACGGTTCAAACCGGTTCACTGAACCGAGTGGTGCCCCCCCCCCCTCTGTTCAGCGGACAGGCCTAGATCTCCATCGTTCGAGACCACAACGAAGTCGTCAGACCAAAAATATTAACTTGCCTATCTCCATAACATAATTTTGATTGCCAATCTCTGTATATATTGTGGTCTAAAAGCACAATTTTGGGCCGTGCTAAGCCGGTCATGAAAACTCTGCCTTTAAACACTAACAGGGAATATTTCTGGGCCATGACTGAGGCTACAATTGCCCTGTTGGTTCGTACCTCATGTTGACCCCCCTGTCAAAAAAAATCCTAGAGCAATAAAATGTGAACATTGTGGGACCTGGAGTAACAGTTGATGAACACATAAAATATTTGATTAAAAGAGCAAACCTTTGGAGGTGCTATAGCAATCCTGTCAACCCACCCACACATGGAAACAGGACTGATAAACAGAATTGATGATGATGGATAATTGGATGACTGGATGGATGAATGATGATGGAGGGGATGCGATAGATGGAAGAATGATGGAGGATGATGGGATGGATGAGGATAGATGATGATGATGATTATGGTGGATATAAAATGATGGATGGATAATGGATGAAAAATGAAGTATGTATGAATAACATGCAGGAGTAATGATGGACGGAAGAATTTAATTCAATACAAATTTCTTTATTGCATAAAAATACAAATTGATTTTCAAAAAAATACTATAAGATTTGGTCATATGAAAAATACATAAAAATTTAAAAAGAGCGGACAGATCGAAAAAAAGCAGACACGATTACTTTTGATTTATTTTAAATTTTGAAATAAAACATTAAAATGAAATGAAAGACACCAGCAACAATAACAGAAAGAAAAAAAAAAAATGAAACTTCGAAGGAACCCTTGATCAAGATCATAAAGTCAATTACAATTCTTTAGAAATACAATAATTTATAATATTTTTTTTTTGTATCTGTTTGTATTGACTGATAGGGTGTTGAATTCTTTGTCGATGTCGGAGGTTGTAATTGTCAGGAGGAAGGGGTAGAAGAAAATTCGGTCGGTCCCTGTCATTGAGTTTTCAGTCGGTCCCTGTCATTGAGTTTTCAGTCGGTCTCTGTCCTTGAGTTGAGTTTTCAGTCGGTCTCTGTCCTTGAGTTTTCAGTCGGTTCCTGTCCTTAAGTTTTCAGTCGATCCCTGTCATTGAGTTTCCAGTCGGTCTCTGTCCTTGAGTTGAG